AGCAGCCCGTGTCTGGTAACACAACCCGGCTGTGATTGCTGAAATCTTACTCTCCACCTCTGGGATGGAGCAGCTAAAAGAGTCTTTAAAATCACAAATTAAAATAAAAATACAAGAGGAGAGAGAAGTCCATCCTGGAAAAAAGGAAGACACTGCCCTTGGCAACACTCAGCACGTAGTCAAGCACATGTTCTGTAATTACAATTGACCCTTAGGAAGGGATTCAGGGGACCAAACTGACCCAGCTCAGCTCAGTTATCGATGAAAATTACAATCCATGAGCAGGCGCCAGTGTTACAGCTGACTGGGATGCAGCCAGCTCGCTGGGCACCTGCATTTAATGCGTGCTCATTTACAGCCCAGAGAGCTTTCTCCTTACGATGCCAGGCTGCACGCGTGTTCTTTTATGTTATCCCACCCCTGCGGGGGTTCGCTGGCAATGCCGGTCAGTGCTGGTGGTGGCCCCATGGATCCCCTTTCCTGCAAGTTTTAGGGATGCCTCCAGCGTAGCAGCCTGCGGTGGCCCAGGCTGCTCCCCTGCATCCCCGCGCCCCTCTCTTGGGTGGCTGGACCCTACCGCCCACACTGCCCGTAGCATCCTCTTGCTGGGGGAGTCGGCCAAGATCCGTAATTCCGAGCTGTGATGGGAGTCAGCACTGTGAGTTCACACAGAGGAGGGTTTATCCCTGTGCCCACACTTTGCAGGTTGAGGACATAACTGCAGGGCCAACAAGTGCCTTAGCTGGGCGTGAGGAGCCACCTGAGCCCTGATGTAGCCCAAATTCAGCCTTTTATTCAGCTCTGAGGGTGGTGGCCTCCATCCTTGTATGAGCCGAGGGGTGAGGGGAGAGCTGCCCGCAGCGCTGCAGCCTGCCCGATGCCGAGGGATCGGCAGGACAGCAGGGAGGAAACCATGGGATCTGCCTTGGTTTCTGTTAGCTTGGTTTGCTGCACTGCAATTTTTAACTCAATTACTTTGTTTGTAAAAGGAGAGTTTATAAATGCTTGTCATCAGGAGAACAAAGTTACATAATTAAACAATTTACCAGAGAGAGAGTCTGTGGCTTCAGTGCAATTCTCTGGGGTGATTAAATATTCCAATAAAAATACTGGGCGATACCATAAATATTGTAAATGGCTCTAGATGGTATCCAAGGGCTAAATCAACTCTTTATTGCATTCAAAGGGAAAAGAATAAGTGAAATCACAGGGAAGATAAAATTTAAATAAATAAAATAATGGGAAAAATAAAGCAAAAATATTTTCTTTTGTATTTTGAAAGCTCTGGAGGATGTTTTTGGCCAGCATGAGAGAAGACTATCATAGTTACCAGAATAACGAACCGAGGGCATCTGTGTGCACTTGCTCATAGGTTATATATGTATGTCTGTGGGGGCTGTGTGCGGCTGCTTAGATAAAATCTGCCCACAACAGGGGAAAACCTCTTTGTTTATATGATTGTTTGTGGCATTTACAAGTTCCAGCCATGGAACCCAGGAATGCATCTCTTCCCCTGGCCAAGCTGTCGGGCTCCTGCAGCCCTGCCACGGCGAGGGCAGCCGAAGGAGAATGCCACGAGTGGGCAGAATTGCGGGATGGATTACCCGTATCGTTGAAAACTTGGGAAAGTTGTTTAAAAGTTGTTGCTGAAGCAAGATAAATATTTGCCAGGCATGATCCCACCATGCAATGACAAGTAAGCTGTATGGAATGTGTTAATAAAATATAAATGTTCCATAAAGGAAACAAATGTTGCGGATGAGAAAACAAGGACAAAACGGACTTGTGGGACCTCCAAAGGCAACAATTGAAAACATATTTACATGGACTGGGCTGAAGTCTCTTGTGTCTTCTGAGGAACATAAATTGCAGGATGTGCTGATCACCCAGCAGAGTAGTGGGTTTCGGTGTTCCATAAAAACCCAAACACTGCTCCCAAGATAATGAGGTCTGTCCATCCTTACTAACGTGGAGATGTGGGGCTGGGCTGCTCGAGAAACTGGGGACACTTGCGTCACCGTGCGAGCAGCCTGTGTCAGCATCAGGGGTGGAAGCTTTGGTGCTGCCCAGCGCAGGGACCTGAGGTCACACCATGCATGCCCTGTTGCAGGCTGACGATCCCCTGCAGCCTGTGGGCAAATCCATTCTCCTCCCCAGCCACAAACTGGGCAGCTGCAGCGGATCTGCACGGGTTCCAGTGAAGGCTTTGGGCACATGAAACGCCAAGAGCCAGTGGAGGAGCTCTGGTGGAGCATCCTTGTGGTGACGCCCCAGTGACAGGAGTCCCCGTGGTGAAGTCCTGGTGGTGATGCCCTGGTGTGGAGTGTCCTGGTGGTGATCCCATGGCGATGCCCCAGTGGTACTGCGCCGGTGGTGATGCTGCGGCGGTGGAGTCCCAGGGGTGATGCCCTGGCAGGTGGCTTCGAGGCAGTGCTGGAGCACCTCAGGGGGACCACAAGACCACACTTGCTGTCTTGGGAATATGCACATCCAGCAGCTCGCTCGCAGGCCCTGGGTCTCACTCTTGCACTGGCTAAAACACAGGAAAACGTGCCGGCTGGGGAAGGCTCAGGCACAAGTCCTACCATCCTGCAGCTACCCAGTGTCCCCAGGAGGGCAGAGGTAGGCAGAGGGCAGCAGGACTTCTGCGGGGAAGCACAAACAAAGCTTGAGCAGAAGCAGCAGCAGCAAGAGCGGGGAGGTGCGGCGCTATAGCGGGGGCGCCGGGCAGAGGTACAGGCGGGGCAGGGAAGGCGGGGCTTGGGCCGTTCGTAGCTTTCCGGCAGGGGCCACCGAAGATCGCCGAAGCGGATGGGGCGGCGCGCATGCGCCGTGTGGCGGCGGGGCCCTG